GGAGGGCTGGGTGGAAAGAGTCAAGAGATGGCAGCAGGGCGCTAAACCTTTCCAAACTGGACCTGAACTTATAGAGTGGGTGCTCAGCACGTTCAGAAACTCAGGCCCCTTTAAGAGCTCTCAAATTGGGCCCCAAATTCATTAGTATAAATCTTGGCCTGGATAAGTGAAAGGATGCACAAAGGGGTCACTGGCAGAATGGAGGTGGGGGCAGGGAATGTGGTAAGTATTGCAATGGGGTTAGCAGGAGTTTTTCACCTAACTTCCAGGCGTCTGTAAAAGACAGCTCCGTGCCAGGGATAGCCTGGTGCCACTCTGCGATTTGCTCAGCGTGTGCATGACACGTGACACACATTCTCATCCTCCGGCAACACGGTTCCATCCTAAGTTCAGAAATATCAACCTTTTCCCAGGGCCCCATGCTGCGAGCTGCAGACACCTCCCTCCCCGCCCCCGGAACAAACCCAGCCCTAGTAGAATAAGGGGAACAGATTCACAACAAAAGCAAAAAATGCTGAAAAACTATTTTTGGTGACCCACGTGTCAGCAAAAAATCAAGACTCTCTTGTGAGCTGAGCAGCAGAAGGCAGTGAAGTGGTGGAGTGTATCTCCCGGGAGAGGGAACGGCTCAAATGCTTTTCTCTGCAGGATCCCGCTGCGGTCCTATAGCAAGCTACCTCCCTGTGCTCCCAAGGACCCTATTGCTCTCCAAAGAATCAGCGATGCTGACCTGAAATTAGGGTAGCCCATTTCCCACGTGCTTACTCAGTCTCTGCAGCATGTCATGAAGCAGCCTTGTATGTTTCCACTGGTTTGATTTTCTTCAACTCAAACATTCGGATGGCGGCTGAAAGTGACAGCCTGGAGGGGACCCATACATCGGGGCTGTTCTAGGGTAGTAACCATTTATGTGATGTTTCATTGTAAACACACAAAGTGGTGACAATATCCTCATGTGGTAGACTGCCAAGCCATGTGATGCCTCTAGCCATCTCACCGCACACTCTCCACGACATGAGATTGGCTGTCTGACATACTGAACACCAGTGAAAGTAAGGTAGGATCTGAGGCTGAAATAAGGAAATAACAAGTTGAAAATTACTTAGCCACGTTAGATGTTTTCAGGTCACCAGGACCTGATGCAATGCTCCCTCCCACCCATCCCCCGGGACTCATTTTATCACTAGAAACCTCCAAGAAGCTCTGGACAAATGCAATTTTAAAAAGCAACCTGTCCCCCCTCTCTGCTTCCAGATGACACTGGCTCGAGGCCCGGGATATATTTAGAAGCTCTGACACAGAGATTTTTTGCTCTGGAGACAGAACGCTCTGCACCTAGAAATGAAGCACATTTGATTGTCTAAAGGCTGAATTAAGCACGGCTCTATTTATTTCAGCACGTGCCCATCCTGGAGACCTGCCCTCAGCTCCTCCATAAATCAGGAGGGGAGATCACAGACTGTGCATAAGCAGTGCGTTATTGTCGATCATTTATAACTATGTCACCACAAATCCTTTTCCAGCCTCGCGAAGCCCCCATTCCTCAGGCAGGAGGAGCCTACCTGCTCAGTACCAGCTGTTAAAACGAAGCAGAAACATGCATGGTACAGTGTTGCCTGGCAGTTAGAACAGGGGTCTACAAGTCAGGACTCCTCGGTTCTATTTCAGTCTCTGCCACTCACCCTATGAAACGGAACTGGGCAAGCCGCTGCTCTCTCAAGTCAGTTTCCTGATCTGTAAAATGGGAGATAATGCAGCCCCACTTCATAGAGGTGTCATGGAGCTTAATTAAATTCACATTTGTAAAGTCCTTTGAGGTCAACCAGGGGAAGTTGGTATACAAGCCCAATGCACTATTGTTACAATAAGGCAGGTGTCAGTTATCTGAGTGCATAGGAAAATCATCAGAGACCTCTCTGAGAGCAAGAAAAACCCTCTAATGTCCCCCATGCACCAAAGAACAAGTCAAGTGGGAGTTCACCAGCGTTTGAAAGCGATTCCCTTGGGCTGTTGGTTGTAATCTCTTTGGGGCAAGGACCCTCTTTCATTCTGCGTGTGCAGTGCCCAGCGCAATGGGGCCCTCCAGATAATCCTCCAGACAAACCATGAAGCAGGCAGGAGAAGTGGCATTGAGACACTCCCCCAAAGTACTGTAGGGGACGGGGTTGGAGGGTGAAGGGGACGTAGAACCTTGGCCTGGCTTGGCAGTGAGTGGAACCTGTTCCCACCTGACAGCTGGTCGGTGTCCACTGTGTGAATTCAGTCAGTGCACCCTGCTCCAGTCCCTAGTAACCAGATGGCCATATCCCCAAAGCCACCAGCTGGACTGGCCCCCTTGTAGGCTGGCTCAGAAGACACGGGCCATGGAGGTTGAACTGCTTTCTTGCCCCTAGAAGACTCACAGATAAGGCCAGAAGGGAGCACTGGGATCATCTAGTCTGACATCCTGCATAGGACTTCCCCAAATTAATTCCCGTTTGAAAAACAGGGCCCCTCCCTCTAGGCAGAGGCTGATGTCCCTTGGCAGGGCAGTGTGAGCTAGTTTGAGCTAAACTACAATAGGAAACAGCAGTTCCTCCTTCAGCCCCGTCACTTCCCTGGGTCTCAAATCTCATAAGAACATCATAACGGCCACACTGGGTCAGACCAAAGGTCCATCTAGCCCAGTATCCTGTCTGCCGACGGTGGCCAATGCCAGGTGCCCCAGAGGGAATGGACAGAACAAGGAATCATCTAGTGATCCATCCCCTGTCACCTACTCCCAGCTTCTGGCAAACAGAGGCTAGGGACACCACCCCTGCCCATCCTGGCTAATAGCCACTGATGGACCCATCCTCCATGAACTGCTCTAGTTCTTTTTTGAATCCTAGCGGCAGCTGCTCCCATTTGTGCCCCCAGAGCTTAGCTGCACTTCAAACACAATTCATCCCTGTCAGCAGAAACGCGCGTGCGTCTAACGGATTGGCCAATGTGTCCCTCTGCGCCATGTGCAGATGCCAGAGAATGCAAGTGCCACTGTGTTGCAGAGAGAAGCTGTCCAGAGTCCAGAGGCTGTGCCAAACCTGGAGAGCCAGGGCTCTTTTAGATTCACAGGGGTGGGCGGACATGTGATCACGGGCTGGAAAGGGACAGTAAAAACAGATCCATCCTATGTAAGGTGCCCTGGCCAGAATCAGGCTAACATCAGATGTGTCCTCTCCTGGGCATGTCTGCCCTGGCTGGGGGATGAGTGCTGCATTGTGACCTACCAGGTGCATTCCATCTCTAGCTGCTGCAATGCCAGGATTCACTCCCTGCTGAGACCATATTATTGAGCAGGCCTCAAGCTGCCTCCATTTACAGCATGAACATTTCCTGTGCAACTCTTTGCTCAGCATCCCTGGAGTGCACCACAGATCCCAAAGGACCATTGCGATCATCTAGACTGACCCCCTGTGTAAACCAGGCCAGAGAACGTCCCCCAAAAATTCCTAGAGCAGAGCTTTTAGAAACACATCAAACGTGACTGAAACATTGTCTGTGATGGAGAATCCAGCCCTTCATAAATTGTTTTCATGGTTAATTACTGTCACCATTAAAAATTTACACTTTATTTCCACTCTGAATTTGCCTCACTTTAACTTCCAGCCGTTGGATCTTGTTAGACTTTTCTCTGCTAGACTGAAGAGCCCATTATTACATATTTGTTCCCCCATGTAGATACTTATAGACTGTGATCAACTCACCCTTTGACCGTCTCTTTGTTGAGATACATAGATTGAGCTACCACTATCCGGCACGTATTCTAATCCTTTAATCATTCTCGTGACTCTTCTCTGACCCCGCTTCAATGTATCATAGAATCATAGAATATCAGGGTTGGAAGGGACCCCTGAAGGTCAACTAGTCCAACCCCCTGCTCGAAGCAGGACCAATTCCCAGTTAAATCATCCCAGCCAGGGCTTTGTCAAGCCTGACCTTAAAAACCTCTAAGGAAGGAGATTCCACCACCTCCCTAGGTAACGCATTCCAGTGTTTCACCACCCTCTTAGTGAAAAAGTTTTTCCTAATATCCAATCTAAACCTCCCCCACTGCAACTTGAGACCATTACTCCTCGTTCTGTCATCTGCTACAATTGAGAACAGTCTAGAGCCATCCTCTTTGGAACCCCCTTTCAGGTAGTTGAAAGCAGCTATCAAATCCCCCCTCATTCTTCTCTTCTGCAGGCTAAACAATCCCAGCTCCCTCAGCCTCTCCTCATAACTCATGTGTTCCAGACCCCTAATCATTTTTGTTGCCCTTCGCTGGACTCTCTTCAATTTATCCACATCCTTCTTGTAGTGTGGGGCCCAAAACTGGACACAGTACTCCAGATGAGGCCTCACCAATGTCGAATAGAGGGGAACGATCACGTCCCTCGATCTGCTGGCTATGCCCCTACTTATACATCCCAAAATGCCATTGGCCTTCTTGGCAACAAGGGCACACTGCTGACTCAACTTCCTTCTTGAATCGTTGACACCAGAACTGGACACAGGATTCCAGAAGCGGTTGCAACAGTGCCAAAAACAGAGCTGGAATAACCTCTCTGCTCCTACCTTCCCTGTCTATGCATCCCAGGATCGTATTAGCCCTTCTGACCACAGCATCACTCGGGAAGTTCATGTTCAGCTGATTATCCACCAGGACCCCCAAATCTTTGTCAGAGTCACTGCTTCCCGGGGTAGAGTCCCCCAGCCTGTAAGTATGGCCTGCAGTCTTTGTTCCCACATGTACATACTTATATTTATCCATATTAAAATGCATATTGTTTACTTGAGTCCAGTTTACAAAGCAATCCAGATTGCTCTGCATCAGTGACCCGTCCTCTTCATTATCGACCACTCCAATTTCTTGGTCATCTGCAAACTTTATCAGGGATGATTTTATGTTTTTTTCCAGGACATTAAGAAAAACGTTAAATAGAGTACAGCCAAGAACCAATCCCTGTGGGACCCTACTAGAAACACACCTGTGAGATGACAGTACCCCATTTACAGTTACATGTTGAGACGTATTAGCCAGCTTTTAATCTATTGAATGTGTGCCATGTGAATTTTGTATCTTTCTAGTTTTTTAATCAAATGCCATATGGTACACAGTCAAATATGTTACAGAACTTTAGCTATATCACATCAACACTGTTACCTTTATCAACCAAACTTGCAATCTCATTAAAAAAATATATCAACTTAGTTTGACAGGATCCATTTTCCATAAACCCAAGTTGATTGGCATTAATTACATTACCCTCCTTTAATTCTTTATTAACTGAGTCCCATAACAGCCACTCCATTATCTTGCCTGGGATCGATGCTGGAACGACAGCCTATAGTTACCCAGGTTGTCCTGTTCACCCTTCTTAAATATTGGCAGAACTTTAGCTTTCTTCCAGTTTTCTGGAACTGCCAGATGGTCATGCTGGCGAGAGGCACGCGATGCGCCTATCATACGCTCTGGTGGCACTTCCAGCAGAAAGCAATTCCTGCTCTCAGAGTGCTCAGCGCGGCCCCATGGGGGCCAAGGACTAACCGGGGTGAGGAGCGGCAGCGTGGTCTAGTGATCGGAGCGCAGGAGCGGGAGCCAGCCTTCCAGCACTTGTTGTGTGGCCTGGGGCACCTCACTTCGCCTGGCTGGGTCTGATTTCCCCGCCTGTAGATTAGGGTTAATGATGTCGACTCTCCTCTCTCCGGGGGTGTGAGGAGGAGCCAGGAACTGGGAGGTGAAGGGCATGAAAGGACCAAGCGTTTGTTACTAACCCCTCCCACTTCTCCCTGTTCAGGGACTAAAAGCAGCAGCAGGGCTGGGGGGGCAGGACGGGGTTGGGGTTGGGGTTGGGGGTGTGTGCGATATTCCAGCCCTGGGGAGGAAGGGATCGGCTCACTTGACACCGGGGAAAACCCGCCATCTGCCGGGGGCCGTGAGCAGAGACCCCCTTTGCGGGCAGTGCAGCCTCAGGGAGTTTCCTCCCTCGGAGGCTGGGGGCTGGGCAGATGAACTGGACCCTGAGCTGTGAATTCTGAGATGGTTTGTAGTGGGGGATAAACAGCATCCTGTGTCTGACTTGAAAGGGGCCAGGCAAACTCTTCCCGGCCTAGTTATGGGTTCAAGGCCCTGCCCTGCCTGATTCAGCTCCGGCACTTGACTCGGGGTCTGTCACAGGCCAGGTGAGCGCGTCCTACCCCCTGGGGTCTCCCTCTCTCCCCAAAGGGCTCGTTTTCAACCAAACCTATTCTGAAACTTGTCCCCCAACAGCATTCTGGTTCCCCAGCCAGCCCTCGTTCCGCCAGCTCCGGGCCTTACCTGGGTGGGCAGGATGCCATGTTTGATACCCGTGTTGTGTGTCCCCATTCCAATAACCCCAGCGGCCGCCACTTCCGAAACGGCTCCTGTCATAAATATAAATGGAAGGGTAAACCCCTTTAAAATCCCTCCTGGCCAGAGAAAACATCCTCTCACCTGTAAAGGGTTAAGAAGCTAAAGGTAACCTCGCTGGCACCTGACCAAAATGACCAATGAGGAGACAAGATACTTTCAAAAGCTGGGAGGAGGGAGAGAAACAAAGGGTCTGTGGGTCTGTCTGTACGCTGCTTTTGCCAGGGACAGAACAGGAATGGAGTCTTAGAACTTTTAGTAAGTAATCTAGCTAGGTATGTTAGATTATGATTTCTTTAAATGGCTGAGAAAAGAACTGTGCTGAATAGAATGACTATTCCTGTGTGTGTGTCTTTTTTGTAACTTAAGGTTTTGCCTAGAGGGATTCTCTGTGTTTTGAATCTAATTACCCTGTAAGGTATCTACCATCCTGATTTTACAGAGGTGATTCCTTTACGTCTATTAAAAGTCTTCTTGTAAGAAAACTAAATGCTTTTTCATTGTTCTAAGATCCAAGGGTTTGGGTCTGTGGTCACCTATGCACATTGGTGAGGATTTTTACCAAACCTTTCCCAGGAAGTGGGGTGCAAGGGTTGGGAGGATTTTGGGGGGAAAGCTGTGTCCAAACTACGTTTCCCAGTAAACCCAGTCAAAGTTTGGTGGTGGCAGTGGAAATCCAGGGGCAAAGGATAAAATTAATTTGTACCTTGGGGAAGTTTTAACCTAAGCTGGTGAAAGTAAGCTTAGGAGGTTTTCATGCAGGTCCCCACATCTGTACCCTAGAGTTCAGAGTGGGGAAGGAAACTTGACAGCTCCTAAGCTGCACACAGACAAAGAAACGTCATCGGCAGTTAGTTGTGGTTCTTCCCAGACACATCTCTCGAGACGATATTGATTAATGTGACACCCAGAACGAGGGCCGTTAATTGCCAGCTGTCCCAGATCAGGATGTGCCAAGCCAATGTAATGCACCCGCCGATTCATATCAAACTGTGCTGAGATCACAGGCTGGCGGGCAGGGGGTCCAGACATGGGCCTGACACTCCGATTCAAGACAGTCCCTTTGATGCTCTCCCAGGGCCTTAGGCTGATCTCAGGGAACGTCACCCGTTCCCCAAATCCACGGCACGGACCCAGTGCCAGGCATGTGGGACTTGTGCATGGGACAGGTCGAGCCCTGACTGCTTCTGGGCACTGAGGGGGCATGTTCATATGACACCAGCTGAAAGGGGACCCACGCCCCTGGTCCACCTTCCCTGCCAGCATCCGAGATCCCCTGCTACCGGGGTAACCTGCAGGTCGGCTCCGCTAACAGGGAGCTGCTTCCCTGGCTGAGCCCAGCTGGAACGCAGCGTGCTGGGACAGCGCAGGGGGAAGGGACCCGCAGCCCCAGCGCACCGACCGCCAGGCCACTGGCTGTTACTGGGCGCGACGCAGGAAATCCAGGCAATGGAGAGACCTTAACCTGGGATGTAATTCTGAGCGAGGAAAGTGGTGGATTGAGGTTACTGGCATGGCTGTGTCCCTGAGCCCTCCTGGCTGGGGGAGGTGGGGTATCGCCCAGGCTCTCATCACCGCAAGCTGCTTTTACCGTGTGCTCTTGATGTGCCAGGGCTCGTGAAACTGAGGGACTGACAGCCTCATTTGCAGCCCCCCCATCTCAATGCAGCCTGCAGCCACCCCGGAGCCCTCCCACCCAGCTCTGCCAGTGCAGGTCTGTTCCCAACCACAGAACCCCCCGCTAGGCCAGTCCCGGGCTCCCCACACAGCTCTGCCAATGCCCCTCAACCCCAACCCACAGCCCCCTCCCTTGCCATCCCAGTCCTGGGCTCCGCACGCAGCTCTGATGATGCCCCTCAATCCCGATCCACAGCCGCCTGCTTTTCCAGCCCTGATTCTCTCCTCAGCAGAGATTCCCACCTGTGACGGTGGGGTGAGCTTTTTTCACTGGGAATAGATGGGGATCAGGGTGTGACCGGCCAAAGCCATGGACAGGTGAACTCTGAACGGAGCTCTGTAGAAGCTGACTGCGAGCACAGCCCCCAGCAGCATGTCCCCGCCCTCGCCAGCCTCCCACCCCGAGAACTGGGAGCTGGGCTGGGAGCCAAACACTTTGTAAACATGAATTAATTCCCATAGTGCTGCTAGGAGGGGAAGTGCCATTACCCCCATTTGTAAATAACGGGAAACTGAGGCAGAGAGCGACGAGGTGACTTTCCAAAGATCCCAGAAGAATAGAACCCAGGAGTCCAGAATCCCAGCCCTGTGTCCTAACCACTAGACTCACTCCTACCCATTGCTCACTTAAGCCAGATTTTGCGCTGTAGTTTACACCAGTTCTGGGCCAAACCCAGATCTGATGTAATTGGGAACAAATCTCCCCTACTGGGGCTGTTCACCTAAAATTAAAACAGCACCTACGGGCCCTGTCATGTTGGGCGCTGCACAGACAGACCCTGCCCCAAGGGGCTGAGGTGACAGATAAAGGGGAGGGGGAAGTGACTTGCCCAACATCATACAGGAAGTCAGTAGCAGAGCCAGGACTAGAGCCCAGGTCTTCAAAGCACCAGTCCAATGCTCTAACCACTAGGCAATGCTACCTGACATAAATAGGAGTGTAAGTTAGACAACAGTAAGTGTGGGGGGGGGCAGAAGGCTGGGGGTTGTAACATGGGAAGCATCGAAAGGAAAGTGTCAGAGAGTATGCTTTCTCTCACACCTCGTACACCCTCTTGTTGTTGCTTTCTTTGCTACAGCCCTGTCCTTAGCCTGCAAATTACACTGGCAACCACTCCCGGCTGTGTAACTTTCTGCCTCATTTCCACTGGCTCTGAATTCGGCCCTCTGCAACCAACATTACAAACCCACACTCCCCTGCAGCCCGTGATCTGAGATGACTGGATGGGAGATGGGGGGAAACAAGCCAGACGATTCCTATTTATTTTGCCATCATTTAAAGGGTTAAATCTCACTGAGACCCAGAGCGAGTGCAAGTCGCCAGTGCCTGGCTAACCCACTGGAGCTCAGGAGATTGGCTAACACAGAGCGTTTTGGGGGACCTCTCCCTGCACGAGGGGGGGCTCAGGCCCTGCACAAGGGGCGCCTTCTCGTTCCATTCAGTCTAGAACTCCATTACAAAGTCATCAGGAGCGAGCCTGCCTCTCCCGCAGGGCAGAGTTAATGACACATGGACGCCTTTCGCTCACCGCGAGGGCAGGAGCACTCAGGTGAAGAACCAATGGTAGCTGCGCCGGTGGGCTCTGTGTTACCGCTGTGTGTGCGCCCACTGAGTCCCATGTTTAACGGGGCACAGGGGGGAGCCTGGTTGGGTTTAAAAGTGCCTAGGCCCCAGATCCTCCATGGTAATTAGGTATGTAACCAGGTCGGCTGCTTACTGTCTCCACAGCGCCTCCTCATGGCCAGGGGTGCCACCGCAGCGCCCCACCCTTGTTTCCTCCTTCACAGGGCTCCTCAAACAGACTCCACACAGTCCATGGGAAAATTTGGGGCCCAAATTATTCCGTCCTCAGGTACACTCTGGCCCTCCAGTTCTGTGTCTCTCTCCCCTTAGTTGGGGGTTCCCATCCCGCTTGGCCAGAGCTGGGTCCCAGTTCAGTGCCTCTGCAGGAGCCAGTCTTTGCTGCATCTTCACGCCAGATACAGGGTCTCAGGCTTCTGTTCCTGAGCATCCCCCAGGTTACGACCCGGCCTCCCCCCACAGCTACTTCTCCCCACCACCCGCCCCCTGGCAGCTCCCTGCTCCCTTGTGCAGAGAGATAGGAACTCGCTGCCTGCTCTCAGCTGGGGCTCATCTGGTCCTCAGGGCTGGCTTAGTCTCAGGCTCTCCAGCCCATGGGCAACCATGCTGTTACAAAGTGCCTAACTCCCACTGTAACCAATGGGAGTTAGGCACCTAACTACATTTGAGGATCTGGGCGAAAATCCCACAAGAAATCTGCATCTTTAGGCAAGTAAACACCTTAACAAACCTGGCCCTGGGGCTCCCTGTGTGAACAGGGTGTGGTGAGAATAAATCCATCCGGAGGACGATAACAACCGTCCCTAGCTCCCAGGAGACCGGCACTAATAACAGTGACTGAAACCCCAGCGCCTGGTCAGTGCTGCAAGAGGAGAAAAACAAATGTCCCCAATTGTCCCATGCTACACACTGAGAATAGCTGGGCTGAGGTATCCCGGGACCCCCTTCTCCCAGACCCCTGGCTGTCAGAGCTGGACCCAGCAAACAGAGGAGGTTGTAGGTTAATAGCCAGGAGCATTCCAGGCCTGGGGTTCCCATCTCGTCTAAAAGCCCGCTCGGAAGTGCTGGCTCTCGGGAGCGTTCTCTGGGGGCAGACAGCTGCTGTGGGGCAGAGCTAAGGGAACTCCCCCCACACACACACATGCATGCAGCTCATGAAAGGAAAAGCCATAACTATTCATCACGTCCCCCGGGACAATGAGTGCTGACCGCAGGAGGGACGATAAATCTGGACCAGGCGATCTTTAGGAAGCGTGTGGGGGCCTCTGATAAATGATCTACGGCCAAATAAATGGCAGGTGGCGAAAGGGGACTGGCTGTTAGCAGCTCTATTATTAACTTCATAATTAGCTGCAGCCGCTCGCAGGCTGGGTGCAGAGGTGCCCGGCTGGTCCCCTGTGAGAAGAGCCGGCCGGTCACAGGCAAGGCTGGGGAGCGCGTGCCAGGCATCCTTTAGGTGGAGTTATGAAACAGTGTGTCAGGAGGCAAGGACGTTGCTTGTTAACTCCAGGCCGGGATGTATTTATGTCATAGAGTTTCAGGGCAGAAGGGACCAGCGGATCGTCTAGTCTATCACAGGCCACCAGCCCCTGGCCCACACGCCACTGAGCTCTGGCTCAAACCCCTGCTGGTGGGGAGGCAGCTGCTTTATAAAGCTTCAGAACCTGCTCAGAAGTCACTGATCCCCAGGAGCTGCCAGCTCGTGCTGAGCCGGGCGGTTTGCTGGTATCTAGCAGTCCCACGTGTCTTTCCCGTATTAAGGATGAGAGGGGAGTTCACTCTCCACAGCTCATCAGTCGTTGCACTGCCCACAAAGCGTTAAAATGGTGCCCAATGGGACACTGGCTTTTCTGAGCTGGAAAACTTCCTATCAGAGATCGGACTCCAGCTGAGATCGACTCTTGCTCCCGCTCCTTTTTGAACCAGGGGCGTAGAGGCCAAAGGCCCTGGAGCCTGTTCCCCAGGTCTGATACTTTGCCTACCCCATTTCCTTAATAACCGACATATTCTCTCTAACGCTGATGACCTTGGGGCTTTTTGCTACTTGGCATAATGGCGTCTGCATCATCTTCTCCCGGGGCCCTTGGAAACTCCTTGAACGGTTGGGATTTAACATGCCCTTGATCCAATTCCCCAGAGACGTTTTCTTAGCCGCGTTTGGTGCGAAGAAGTGAATAATTCTGGGTACAGCCCCTGTCCAAGTGACACATTCAAGCTGAGTTCCTGCAGCTCCGTTAATTCATGCTCCTGTTATCAGACCGCAGCAAGCTTTGGTCCAGCGGCATAAAATGCAGCCGTGCCTGTGACCCTTGAATGCAAGGCTGGGCGACCATTGGAACATCGGCCTCTGTAACAGATCAGCAGCTTTGATTCAACACGCCAGCTGGGCAGGACCAAAGGTCATTAAAAGCTGCACAACGTGCCCACGGCCTATTCCACAGCTTCATCCCCAGGCCGAGGGCAAAGTGCGACCTAGCGAATTAGCCGGTTAACAGAGGCTGGTTGGTACATTCCAATGTATCGGTGAGTGAACTAGTGCATGGTTCGTCCTCTTCCCACATTGCCAAAGGCGTTCTGGGCAGACTCAGCTGCTGCAGATTCTCAGCTCTGCCGCGGGTCCTTTGGGATTCTTAGAAGTGAACTTACTGTTGCCAAACAAGGTGAAGGCTGGTGACCAATATGCTCTGCTCACAGAGCATAGGTGGAAGCAGTGGGATATTTCCATACGTACCATCATCCCTTATCAACGTCCTTCAGCCATTACCTGGCAGGGCCAGCTCCTGGAGAGAGACTGTGGTTTTGAGTTCTGTGCTCACTCAGCCCTAGGTAGCTGAGAAGACTATTCATGGGGTTTGCCAGATTGAAAAATGACTGAGACCACCCACGCATTTCACACAGGTCGTTGAGCAGCCATGAGATGGTAATTAACACGCCCACCCGCACTGGGCAGATGGCCGGTATGTCTACACTGCAATTAAAACCTGCCGCTGGCCTGTGCCAGCTGACGAGCTCACTGGGCTCAGGCTGCAAGGCTGTTTAATTACAGTGTAGACTTCCCAGCTCAGGCTGGAGCCCAGCCACTGGGACCCTGCGAGGTGGTCAACATCACAACACCTATGTCCTTTTGTGACTCTAGCTCTTAATCACTCTGTGCCTCAGTTTCCCCATCTCTACAATGGGTATTATAGTACCTCCTGGCCATGCAGGGGTGTTGTGAGGAGAAATACATTAAAGGTTGAGAGGGGCTGAAATACTTTGCTGTGATGGGGGCCCTATAAGGATCAGGGAGAGCTGGCCAGAACCCACTGATTTAGGGGAAAATTGGAAAACAAAGGGGGAACCCATATTGTGCTCGGTTTGACTGGGGATGAATAATTACACAAGGGGCCGGGATTTCAGAGACTCCAACCCAGAGATGCCATCGCTCTCGCAGTAATCGTCTGCATCTCTCCTATTGCTGCTCTGTGCTTGTCAGCCACTGCCCGGCATAATGACCTTTCCTTCTCGCCACCCTTCCCCATTCCCCCACAGATCTCAGCATCTCTTTCCACACACACAGCTCGCAGAGAGGAGAACAATAGGCAGAGAAAAATCAGACAAAGGAGACGTCCTCCCAGCCCAAGGGCCGGGCAGACGAGACAGGCCTCAGCTGGAAACTGAGGCAAGCAGGCAAGTCACCATGCAGTTCTCCCAGTCATCACGAACCCAGCTATCTATGTTTCTAATGATCAAATCCCCCGTAACTATTACCTGTCTCTTCCCAATAACTGGAGTTCCCTCCCTTGGAGAGGTATCCTCAGTGCAAAAGGATACCACGACATCACAGAATCATAGAATATCAGGGTTGGAAGGGACCTCAGGAGGTCATCTAGTCCAACCCCCTGCTCAAAGCAGGACCAATCCCCAACTAAATCATCCCATCCTCTGGAAGGAGGGTCCCAACTATGGGATCATTTCCCTCTGCTCCAGTTAGATGTTCCTCTTCCCACAAAGCAGGGGCCCTTGGGGAACATACAGGGCTGGTGGATTATCCGCCTGCTGCTGAGCACCCAGAATTCCTATTTGTTTCCCCTTTGAAGAAGAGGCCAGATGATAAATTTCTTTTAGTTCAGCCACGGGGCTGTTTAGTTCAGCCACGGGGCTGGAGCAGTCAGAGGTGACCAGGGACACTGGACGCCTGACTTGAGACCCTGATTGTCATCCCCCCCGCCCTCCAAAAATTAGACCCCTTTAAGGAGAGCCAAGCAGGGACCTCAGAAAATGGGCCAGCAGAAGATCTTGGCTAGGAGGATGAGGGGTGTCATCTCGTGAAGGCCCCAGCAGTCCTGGCACGCAGCACGGTGCAGGCCGAGAAGGAGGGTGGAGGATCTGTTGTGGTGTTTATTGGCCACATTGCAGCCTATGCTCATGCTGTGCTAACTATCCCATATCTCCAAGCTGTGGTGATTTATTTCTGCCTCGTCCAGTTTCCTCCGGTCTGTTTTCCCTCGGAGTGAATAATTAGCTCGCTCCTTTGCTCACCACCCTGCCTTTCCTAGGGCGGCTGAAATACCTACTTCTCAAAGGCTGGCCTTTGGTCCTGACTGCTCCACGCCTGAGCACATCCCCGGCCTCCGACAACCTAGTGCTCAGCACACGCCAACGCCAGCTGCTTTCGGCTACAGGGTCTCTGTGCGATCGGCCCAGAGCGACTTCTGCAGGCCCTGAGCAGAGCCGTTCTGGCTCCTGACAGCTCACACGGGAGGCTCACCTGGCAGAGCCGCTACCTACAGGCTACGAGGATCCCAGCGTGAGTCCCCGCTGCAGCAAGAGGCAGACAGCCCGCTCAGAATAGGGCATGGGGCAGGGGACTACTCCAGGGGCTGGCTGAGGGCACCTTGGTACCTGGCCCCCAGCTGCTGTAACCAACCCTACCAGGGGCTCTCAGCAGAACTTGAGCCCGTTACCTTCAGACCCTTAGCGCAGACCTCTACCATCTGAGCCAAGGAGTAACTCCATTAGCTGGTAGTAGGCTGTTATCCTCCAGGTGGACCAGCCTCTAGCCGGGGAAGGAGGGAGGATGACACTGCATAGGGGGTGTCCTACTGGCAGGCTGGGGAGCAGAACATTTTCCAGGGGCAGGGAAACAGCAAGTCAGTGCAATTCTCCTCCCTGGCCTGGCCCAGGGGGTCATCCCTGTAACCTCTGGGTCTCAGGAGGCAGCGACCATTGACACAGAGACCAGCACTGCAGCCCTTCCCCAGTCTCTGCTCAGCCTTCCTCAGGAGCGTCCTGCTTATCTGTGCCACGTTCGCACCCGTATCCGAACTGAGAGCTGGGCCCCGTTGTTAGGGTTGCCAACTTTCTACTCGCACAAAACCAAACACCCTTGCCCCACCCCTCCGCTGAGGCCCCACCCCCCGCTCACTCCATCCCCCTTCCCTCGCTCTCCCCACCCTCACTCACTCGCTCATTTTCCCCAGGCTGGCTCAGGGGGTTGGGGTTGGGGTGTGGGAGGGGGTACAGGCTCTGGGCTGAGGCTGTAGGTTCCAGGGTGGGGCCAGAAATGAGGGGTTCAGGGTGTGGGAAGGGGCTACGGGCTGGGGTGTAGGGAGGTGAGGGCTCCAGCTGGGGGTGCAGGCTCTGGTGTGGGGCCAGGGATGAGGGATTTGGAGTGTAGGAGGGGGCTCCAGGCTGGGTCAGGGGGTTGGGGTGCAGGGGTGTGAGAGGGCTACAGCTGGGGGTGCAGACTCTGGGGTGGGGCTGGGGCTGAGAGGTTTGAAGTATGGGAGGGGGCTCCAGACTGGGTCAGGGGGTTGGGGTGCAGGGGGATGTGAGGGTTCCATTTGGGGGGTGCAGACTCAGGGGTGCAGCTGGGGATGAGGAGTTTGGGGTGCAGGAGGGTGCTCCAGGATGGGATTGAGGGGTTTGGAGGGGGATCAGGGCTGGGGTAGGGGGTTGGGGCATGTGAGAGGGTCAGGGGTGCAGGCTCCGGGTGGTGCTTACCTCAAGCAGCTCCCAGAAGCAAAGGCATATCCCTTGTCTGGCTCCTACGTGGAGAGGCAGCTCTGTGCACTGCCCCGTCTGCAGGCGCTGCCCCTGCAGCTCCCATTGGCCATGGTTCCCAGCCACTGGGAGCTGTGGAGCCGGTACTTGGGGCAGGGGCAGCGCGTGGAGCCCTCTGGCTGCCCCTCTGCGTAGGAGCCAGAGTGGGGACATGCTGGCTGCTTCCAGGAGCTGTTCAGAGCCAGGGCAGGCAAGGAGCCTACCTTAGCCCCGCTGTGCTGCTGACTAGACTTTTAACAGCCCGGTCAGCAGTGCTGACTGGAGCCGCCAGCTCCCTTTTCCACCAGGCATTCTGGTCAAAAACCGGACACCTGGCAAACCTACCCATTGTACGAGGCACCACATCCGAAAACCGAGAGCCAGCCCATGCCTCAAAGAGCTGACAGTCCACATAGATGACAAAGAGACAGGGTGGGAGATGGGAAGGATCATCACCCCCATTTTACAGCTAGGAAACTGATGCATGGAGAGATTCATTGATCCATCTAAGGGCACCCAGGGAGGCTGTAGCAGAGCCAGAAATGAACCCAGATCTCTAGAGTCTTAGGTTACCACCATATCCGCTAGACTAGCCTTCCTGGCTCAGCCGGCAGGCTGCTCCTGGGATACAGACAATCATGAAGTTTATATATATATATATATACACACACACACACACACACTCCCTCTCTTACCTAGCACTTTTCAGCAGTGGATCTCACAGCACTTCCCACCAGCCTGATGAGGCCGGGCAGTGCGATGATCCCCACTGTAGATGGGAAACACAAACAGAAGGGCTAAGGGCTCGTCGACACTAACTACACGGCCAGGAGGGGTTCTCCCATCGGCGTGGGTCGCCCACCTCCCTGCGCGGTGGTACCCAGAGTGTCAGAATAACTCTGTCGACCTAGCACTGGCTACACAGGGACTTCGGTCGCTTCATTTCACTCCGGGGGTGGATGTTTTCCTTATAGTTAAGCCAACCTAGTCTCCTAGTGTAGTCTAAGCTCTGTGACCTGCCCAAAGTCACCCAGGCAGTCTGGTGGAGCAGAGACCTGAACCCCAAACTCCGCTCTCCTAGGCTAGTGCCCTAACCCCTGGACCATCCTTCCCCTCATTAATAATCCCAAGGACCCCCCCCCCCCACCACCACCCAGCCCTGAAGTCCAGATCAGCCCAGCAGCACCCTGGGAAACAGGCCTCTCTCTTTGGAAGGAGTTTGTCTTCGCCAAACTTCCCTCATCTGAGGCTTCCCCCATGCTGCCCCCCCGCCGCGGCTGGCAGCTCAGGCTGGCAGGCCAAGAACATGCCTGCTTCACAGTGAGGATTTCCCAGCAGGCTCTGGCATGGGAGTGACTCCTGCTCCGAGGAAGGCGGGCAGGTGTGCATGGCCTCACTGCTGAAGATATTACACAAGAAATTTTGTAAGACCTTCATGAACTGGGTCTTGATCCACAAAATACTTGACGTTCTGATGGTGCCAAACTTTTGTGCAAAGGAGGTGTGGCGTACACGTGATTTTACAACACAAAATTAAACAAGCAAATAGCTTACACGCACTGCTTGAATCACCAGTGACAGCCAATGGTTACTCATGTGTGAGAGGTGTCAGAGTAACAGCCGTGTTAGTCTGTATTCGCAAAAAGAAAAGGAGGACTTGTGGCACCTTAGAGACTAACCAATTTATTTGAGCATGAGCTTTCGTGAGCTACAGCTCACTTCATCAGATGTGTGAGAAGAACTCAGCAATGGCAGATACGTTCTCAAATTGTAAATCCACAGGGTTTTTTCCTCACAGGCATGAATCAAGTGTTCTGTACTCAGGCCAGAACCCGCAAAGATTCATAGAAACAAGACGGACTGGCCACCTGAACACTTTGGAAATAATCCCCCGTAGTTTGGAAGAGATTCACAGCATCCTGTCAGACTTTGGGCATGGATCTGGCACCCTGTCCATTGAAGCAAGGGGCTGTTCGAAGTTACAGAAATCACCCAAATTCTTGTTCTTCACCGAGGTTATGAAAATGATTTTGAATGGTTTTTGCTCCTGTGAAAAGTCACCTTCAAAAGGAAGGAATGCAGGGGTGGCGCGTCTAATAGGCAGGGGAAGGCTGTGCCTCCCCCAACAGCCCCACGTGGCCCCATCCACGCGCCGACAGGAGACCCCCCTTCTGCTGCTAGTTGGCCCCAGTCCAGGCAGGCTGCTCCTCTGCCGGGAAGGGAAGCCTGCTGGGGCTGGGGCTGGTGGGACTTGGTGTAGCTGGGGCTGCCCAGTACTCGGGGGGGGCCCGACCCTGAGACCCTGAAGTGCTGGGAGGAGATGGGTCCACACACCACACACCACTCCGGGGCTGGGTGCCGGGGGGGGTCCGTGCACCGCCTGGTGCTCCGGGGCTGGGGGCCGCACGCCATGTGGTGCTCTGGGACTGAAGGGGGGGTGGCAGCGCCCCTGCCCAGTGCTCTAGGGGGCCATGCGCCACCCCATGGTCCGGTGCTGGGGGCCGCGTGCCCGCCTGGTGCTTTGGGAGAACCTTAACTCTGCAGCAGCTAAAGTGGCTCTAAAATATCCGTGGGTGTCACACTACGTAGTTCTTCTCCCTCCAGATATTCGCAGACTCATGCCCAACACCTCAGTCATCTCGTCACCACGCTATACACTATTTAACCCTTTAACTCCTACCTTGGAATTCAGTCCCTGGATCCTTTTCGTTGCTCTCCTCTGAACTCTCTCCAATCTGTCAGTTTCATTCCACACCTGGATAATGATGGCAATATTCAAGGTGCGTCTGCCCTGGAGCCAGAGAGAGGGATACCTCTCATTACCTCCCACCACTCGCTTTGCATGCGCAGTCCCAAATCTCATTGGCTTCCACATCACACTGCTTGTCTGCTTGTTGTCCATGGTACAGTACAGTTGCCTGTACCATTCCTGCCTTCCAGTTTCCATGCTCCCTTTGGGTATTTGTGTTTTAGATTATTTCCCTCCAAACTGGATCGCATTTCATTTCTTTGCTGCCCATGTTTCTGAGCTCTCCAAGTCCACTTCACTATCCCTTTGTCTTCTGGGTTATCTGCAACCCCTCCCAGTTTACAGCAGTATCAGCTGTGAATTTCATTAACCCCTTTCCAGGTGTTCCCTCTAGCAATTCACTAGACCCCACCCCACAACTCAACCCTTTGCTGTTTATCTTTATGCTCTTGCCGGCGGCTTTCAGTCATAAGAACGGCCATACTGGGTCAGACCAAAGGTCCATCCAGCCCAGTATTCTGTCTGCCGATAGTGGCCAATATCAGGTGCCCCAGAGGGAGTGAACCTAAC